TCCCCCTCTCCTCCTCCTCCTCATCCTCCTCCTCCTCTCCTCCTCCTCCTCCTCCTCCTCCTCCTCCGCCTCCTCCTCCTCCTCCCCCTCCTCCTCCTCCTCCTGCTCCATGTCGGAGCTCCGCGCGCGTCCCTTGGATCTGCGCTGGGCCCCCCTCCCTGGCGCGCGGAGGGGCGGCGCCGGAAGTGCCGCCCCTGGGGGTGCAGCGCAGATCGAGGACATCCGCGCGGAGCGTTGGACATACAGTCGGACGCGACTGTTTGCAGTAGTGCGCCCATTATAGGGGAGGGGCTCCACCCGCTCGAAACAGGCGCCCAAAGACGGCCAAGATCTACAGTCGGACTCGATTGGACGGGGCACGCGAGAGGACACGATAATTACCCTTCCGAGGGCCACATTGCCACAGGAATGCAGGAAACTTGGGTCGCGAGACACAGGGCACAAGGAAGCATGGGTCGCGAGACGCAGGACACAAGGGTACCCTTGATTTGGCAGGGTCGACCTGCCAACCTGGGCGGCCGGCTGTACGTCTGTGCAGCTTCTGTTTGCGCTCCTTCGGGGGGCCGGCGCAGATCCAAGAAACATCCGCGTGGAGCTTCGAGAGTTGATGTGTCCATGTAATTGTCTCTCCTTCGATCTTCGCCCTCTGTTGGAGGCTTGGAGATGGGCACCAGCACCAATGCAGTGGGCTGCCTCCACCAGTGGAAGATGATCCCAGATTTTGGGTGTTGGTGGTACAGTGCGGGCGCGGCCGCAAGAAACCCTCGCAAGAAACCCAACCCTGAAAACCCGCTCGCGGGGCGCACCCGAGGGGAAGCCCAGAGCACGCTGAACGCAGCAGCTTCTTCATCGGCTGCGGGAAGTCATCGCGCAGCGCGCGGAGCGAAGAGAAACCCAGGATACCCTGACGAAAAGCATATGGTTTCTTGATGCGCGCTCCCACTGTAATCTTTCGGCCGCTGCCGTTTCGGCTGCCCCTCTTTCTCCTCCTCCTCCTCCTCCTCCTCCTCCGCTATTTCCGCTATTTGACGCGCCGTAAGGGTCACAGCCCTGAAGCGCAGCGCGGCGGCCGTCGGCCGCCGACAGAGGGGGGGAGAGGGAGGCCCGCTTCAATCCTGGACAGCGAAGGCCTGGAGGAAAGGGGAGGGGAAAAAGACGGGCCCGTTGGGCCCAACACCGGTCGGCGAAGGGCCCGAGGGGGCGAGGGCCCGCGGGGCCCTGGCCTTTGGCTCGGCGAGGGCCCACCCACCTCGGTGGGACCTAGCTGAGCTCGTCCGCGTGGTCGGGGGCGGCGGGGCCCTCAGGTCGCGTCGAGGGCGGCGACCCCGCCCGCCCCTGGCCTCCGTGATGCGCTCCCTCTGGTCCTGGTCCAGCGCCAGGAGCTCTGTGTTGCCGCCGGTCTGCGGGAGCTTCAGCGCTTGGCCTCCCAGCTGTGCGCCAGCTGGCCCAGCGCGCGGAGCTCCGCGTTGCCGTCGGCCTCCATCGCCTGGTCCCCAGCGCGAGGAGCTCCATGGTGCCGTCGGCTCCGCGATGGCCCCCAGCGCGAGGAGCTCCGCGATGCCGTCGGCTTCCGCATTTTCTCCTTCTGGCCCAGCGCGAGGCGCTCCGCGTCGCGGTCGGCCTCCTCGATGTGCCAGTGATCCTGCCTCGTTGCTGGTGGGCTCTTCGTCTTGTCACAGTCACCTTGGTCATGAACTGGTTGACTGCGTTGGGCTCTTCTCCTGGCACGGTTCCCAGCCGATGAAGTAGTGGTCGTGCTGGTTAAGGTCGATGGGGGTCGGCTTGTTGCTGGTAGGTGGAATAGATTGCGGGCGCACTCTGGCCTCCATGCACCGACTTCAAGCAGGGTTCATGGCGGCCCTGCCTCGTCCCGCTATGGCTAGGGGTCACGGTGCCCTCGGTGGGGGCGAACCCCAGGCCAGGTGATTCTTCTGCTGTCGATGAGGAAGGTCAACGCTGCCCTATGCTACGCCCTTGGGCGCTCGGGAGCTCCGTCTCCGCCATGGGAATGGTGGGGGTGGCGAGCTAGGGCGGACCGCGGGGGCGCGGGCAGTACTCGTCCTGCCCCCCCCCTGCCCCTCACCATCCCCCCTGGTGGGCGCGGGCAGTCCTCGTCCTGCCCCCCCGCCCTTCGAGCCCGTCTCGAAGTTTGATCCTTGCCTCACCAGGGCAACGTTGACTGGTACTTGGTGCAGTTGGGGTCATCGGGCTGGTACTTCTGAGCCCTGGCTGTACGGCGGCCGTGTCCGTCACTATGCAAAACGTGGCGACGTGAGCCTGGGGTGTTCCCTCGCATTCGGGGCTTCCCCAGGTCTTGCGTCCTGACAACTTGTGCAAAACTTGGCGACGTAGCCTGAGGTGTTCCCACGCATTCGGGGCTTCCTCAGGACTTGCGTTCTGATTCTTTTGTACATGTCGTCAAGGCGCTTCGTCACGATCCTCGTTGTCAGCCTGTGCCCGAACAGCTCCTGTCGAGGTGGCGGCCCTGCCGATTGCCTTGTCGGGTCGGTCCTGCCGGGCCCACTCCCTTGCCTCTTCCAGCCAGGTCGGTGAGCCGTTCCGCCTGCTGCCTCGATAGTAGTCCTGACCCATCTCCCTGGTCTTGTAGTGGTCGAGCGGCTGGAAGAAGTGGGCCACGTTGTCGTCGATGTGCCACCCCTGGACGTCGTTGGGCGACTCGCCAAAGCGCCACCTGATCTGCTTCACCAGTGCGGTCGCGATGGCCTGGCACATCCTGTTCGGGTACTCCTTGGCCGGCGCGGTGCGCCACTGGCCTTCATCGTTGATGCCTGCCAGCTCCGCATGGTAGGAGGCCGTGTGAAAGCACCTTCCACTTCCAGGCAGTCTCCTGATTTCTGCTCGGAGGGTTGGTAGGGATACCGCCATCAGGCTTGTGGATTTCCTCGAGCGCGCTCCACAGGTGCACTGGTCGAAGGTGATCAGCTCGACTCCCTGCTGGTTCAGGAGATGGCGCATCTCGGGAAGCTTCCAGGAGCTGGCGAAGTGCTCCTCGATGGGCTCAGACGGGTGCTCGAGCATGCCTGGGACTCCCAAATTGAGGCACATGTACATGAGTTCCAGCTGTGTCCTGTATAGGCGGTTGCCTGTCGCTACTTGCTCCATCTCTGGGCGGGAAAGGTAGCGAAAGCCCCACAGGCTATTGCCGCCCCTTAGGGGTCTTGGTGGCCGACCCCTGCAGCCATTGGGGGGCAAGTGGCGCGCTCGGCTCCAGGTCTCGCACGGCGGTCCGCCGATGACTCCTGCAATTCTTCCTGCTTGTGCCATGTCTCGCCACTTGCTGACTGCGACCTCAGATGTCAGGTCGCCGAAGGTCGGGTCGTTGGCGATGTCCAGGCTGAGCATGTGTATGTCGCAAGCAGCCCGACTGCTGAGGCGGTCAAACCAGTCCTGAACATCTCCGTCTCGGCGACGGCCGCTGAATAGATGCAGCACATATAACGTCCGAGCTTGTCTGGGCCTCGGTACAGCGGCTGGCGGCTGTGGCTGCTCCTCAATGAAGGGCAGCTCAAGGCTCTCGTAGTGGCCGCCGTTGCTGTCGTCGCTGTCCTCGTCCGTATGTATTTCTGGAGGGCGAGCAGGGACTGCAGGCTTCTCTGCCCAGTCGATAGGCCTGCCCGCCCTTCGGTTCGCCTGCTGCTGGTCGCGGACAATTTGCTGGTTGTGCTGCAGCTCGGCTCTACTTAGGATTGCTGGGCGCGTCTTTCTCCAATGTCGAGCGCACTTGCGCACTCTCAGCAAGTGTTTGACCAGCCTGTTTGTAGTATGATAATCCATGCCGCATCCGTAGCAGACCGAACCAGTTGCCCACGAAATAGGATGACCCGACGAGGTGTGGTCCTTGGTGATGTGTGCTCGTAGCACTGCTGCGCTGGCTTCAGTACGTCCACAGTGGTAGCATAAGTACTTGCGCTGATGCTCGAAATGCTGGTCTGGGAAGGACGAGATGGCTTCCGTGTTGGTCCACCGTTGGTGTCGAAGCCTCCATCGAGCATGGTGGTCGTGGCCGTACTGGCGAGCTTTGCCACGTTGGCAAGCTTTCTTTACTGCGCTGAGGTAGCTTTGGTAGTCGTTCCTGGCCCAGTCCTTCCAGTCCTCGAGCGTGTATGCTCCACCACGCTCGTCAGGTCCTGTGTGGTCGCGGACCCAATCCAGGTCTCGGCGGAGCAGTGCCACCCAGCCGTAGCTACCGTCCCATGCTTGGCTAAGTAGCCGGCGGAGGTGCAGGGGTCCCCAGTTGAGGCATCTGCCAAATAGCCGTAACCTCTCAAGTCGCAGGACTATCTCTGGGGGCAGCTTGTCGACTCCTTCGAGGATCTGGGTGTTCGTTACTTCCTTTTTCTGTCGTACTTTCCAAGTGATCCTCTGCGCCGCAGCGTAGTTGACGATGTACTGGTTGTTGAAATTCCTGGCCTGGCCTGCGGTGAGTTCGGGCCAGGTAGACGCATTGTATAATAGCTGGGATAGCACCACGCTGTCGGCTAAATAGGCCTTGTCTTTGATTGCCAGCTCTGATCGCCTGTGGACTTCGCGATGGAGAGGCCTCGTGGATGTCGCTGCAGTGGCTACCTTCACTGCGACATCCACCCCAGGGGATGCATTGTCGGTCACGTAGGTCCCGAGGAGCTTGTGGTGACGAACCACCTCGACGTAACTCCCTGCGAGGGGGACCTCGATCCTCGGCACTCCCTCGGAGTAGAAACTGGCCCGCGCTTGCCGGCTCCCAGGCCCACTGAAGTCAATCATCACCTTGGTCTTGGTGAGTTGCAGCTGGAGGCCGAAGGTGCTGGCGGCGCAGTAGACGGCTTCGCAGAACTCGGTGGCCTCATGCTGAATGTGGTCGGGGCTGGTGAACACGTGCATGCCCGTTAGGTCATCGACAAACGATAGGCCATGTGGTTCTTGCTCCTGGAGTGGCCCATCTGTGGGGTCGTTGTCGCATGCGAAGCTGCTTTCAAGAGGCTTGCCCTGAGGTCGTAGTCCTCGCTGCGCCAGGTAGTTGTCGATCATGCGGTGGACTCGGCCGAATAGCAGATTGAAGTCCGCGTCGGCCAGGGGCACGCCAGGCCTCGTGCCCTTGTGCGGTGCCATAAGGTTCTGGGAAAACCTGTGTGATGTCCACCTGTTGCGATATCCTTCTGCTGAGGGCAGCCAGGTGGGAGCCGTCCAACACTGTGTCGAGTATCCCTGGGTTGGCCATGAGGTGCTCCAGCTGCGGCTGGGCCCACAGGGGAACCTCGAGGTTCTCTAGCACCTCCTGGACTTCGTCCTCTTCACCTGGGATACCATGTACCAGTTGGACTACAACCGAGTAGAAGGCCTCCTTTAAGTCGTAGCAGCTTATCATGGAGCACTTCCCTTGGGCCTGACTTCTCTCGGTGAAGAGGCGTGCTGCAAGGACCGCCATGTCCGCCCCTCGCTTGGGCCGGCCGCCAACCTGGATGTCCTCCAGCGCTATGGCGAGGGTAGTGTTGAGCATGGTCCTTAGGTATTTGTGGTGGTGCTTGCCCAGAACGTTGTTCAAGAGGATCTCGCGGTAGGCTTGGAGGTACCTTGGGTCGCCTTTTCCTTTGGGAATTGCGACCAGGTCTCCACCCTTGAAGCTCAGCGGCTCTCGCACGGTGGTCGCCACCTTGGTGAAGAGGGGGTGCAGTAGCCTCGCTGCCTCCGTGGGGGCCGCCCTGAGGACAGCGTTCGTGAGCCCGTCGGGGCCTCCTTGCGTCCCAGCCTTGGCCGCAGCGAACTGGGCCTGACAGACGGCCAGGGGCATCACCATGGAGAGATCCAGCATGCCGTCGAAAGGCCTGATCTTGCTGTCGTGATTGTACTTGTCAGCAAGGTCATCCGCTGTCACGATCTTCCCCGCCTGTATCTTCGCGAAATGGTTGAGCTCCTGGTCCGCCATTTCCTGGGAGTTGTGGATCACCTCTCCATCATTGTCGAGCCGCATGGGCTTTCCTGCTGGGAATTTCGCCTTCCCCCCTCCGTACCTTAGTAGGTCTCGGTAAGCCTTCCACTGGGTCGCAGCGTCGTTCGCAGCTGAGGCGGAGGACGCTGTCGAGGCAAGCCGACTGAGGAATGCGCTTCGGTCCTTCTCGACGGCCGCGGCAACTATGGGCCCAGACCTGGTGAGGAAGGAAAGGATGGCCATGGCGTAGTCCATGGGCGAGATTGTCCAGTTCAGGAGGAGGTGCGCGTAGTGGTGGATGTCGTGGATGGTGCCGTCGTCGTCGCCACGCTCTCTGCTCCAAAGAGAGAGTGAGTCCCCTACTTCGCCTGCACAAAGAGAGTGGGCGTGGGCTACTAGTCGTCCAGGTTGGCCGTCGTGGGCTTCTCTTCTGAGTACTGCACGGTGGACTCTGAGTGTGAGGCGCCTGGCTCGGATCAGGCCCATGGTAGTCTTGGTGACGTAGGGCTTCCTCGTTGCCCTGGAGGCCTTGCCGAAGGCCTGGATGGCCGCGTCGTTAATGACCCTGGTAGCCTCCTCGCAGTGGGTGTTGACGTCCACCTCCCACGGGATGATCGGGGCCTGCTTGAGGATCTCCTTGAAGCTGGCCTTGGCGACGTCGTTGTTCAAGTTGGTCAGGTCGGGCCTCGGTCCTCAGGCCTTGGTGGTCTTGCAGACGGCCCACTTGAGGCTGGCTAGCACTGGTATGTGGTCTTGTGCAGCTGTGCCTCGGTCCAGACCTGGCTCCGTGCTGCAGCTCGCGACGTATGGGGCGATCGAGGAGTTCAGCAGGATGTAGTCTATCCTGTGGTGCTGCCCCTTCGATCCGACGTGCGTATACGAGTTGCTGCCTGGATCCCTCGTGGTGTTGATGACCTCCATGTTAGTGTCGGCAGCGAAGCTGATGATGTGCTTGCCGTTGCCGTTGGTCACTTCTGGGTACCCACTGGTGCCGACTCCTGGGGACTCGTAGTCGCCAAGACGCCCGTTCAGGTCCCCCATGAAGATGTCCACTCGGTACTTGTCGGACAATCGCTGAGCAGACTCCCAGAATTCTCTCTTCTCCGCCGCGTGGGAGTCTTCGTGGGGTGCGTATGCAGATGCGATAACCATATCTGTGCCTGCAACGCGGGTCTTGATGATCAAGAGCCTGTCGTGCTGGTGGAGGACGAGGGTGTCTTTGGCACTTAGGTACTTCGCTGCCCCACTCGTGCTGATTGGTTGGGAGACGTTGAGCCAGATGTCGCACCCTCTGTTCTGCTGCATGTGGCCTGATGAGTAGCAGACGTATTCACCTACATTGCGGACGTCTCCTTCGCTCTGGGTCTCCTGCAGGGCGATGACGTGCAGGCCCATGTCAGCAAACTGTGCTGCTAGGTGCGTGGCCTTGGAGAGGCTCTGCTTGCTTTTGCCGGCCGCCTTGCCTTTGCCCGGCTTAAAGCTCACGGTGGCCTTGAGTGACCTGCAGTTGTACGTGCACAGGTTCACGTTGAGGTCGGCCTTGATGGTGATAGTGCTGATGGGCCTCTGGATCGCTCCTGGGGCTGCCTGCGGCTGAGTGGCCTCAATGATGAAGTCTTTATGCCGCAGGGGCGGGTATGCGGCCTTGACCGCGTCTGGCGCTGATCGCAGCCATTCCCAGGAGAGGAACTTGTTGTGGGCGATCGCCTGTACGGCTGCAATGTTCGGGTCCATCAGGTCGCTGGCCGAGGCTTGATCTGCTATCCCATCAGCGAGCTCGTTCCAAGGGTGCCCGATGTGCGAATTAATATGGTGCCACTGGGTGGGTCGGGCTTGTTGGAGGAGGCCTGCAAGTGTGCGAATGACTGCCCCCAACCTCGGATGTACGTGGCATTGGGCTTCGCCTTTGGCCAGGTTGATGACGTTGAGGGCGTCAGGCGTGATCTCGATGGGCGCGTCGGTATCTTGACCAAGGGCCCACATCAACGCCCAAAGTACTGCCGTGAGCTCCGCTGTGTATGCCGTCACCTTCTCGTTGTTGACCATGTCGTCTAGGGTTTCGGTGACTTTGCCAGCAATGAAACCCCGAAAGCCGAACGGGCCTCGCAGGTTGCTCCCGTCTTCGTACTCGTCGACAATGACAACTGCCCAGGCGGCTGAGTGTGGGATGCCGTTGTAGCTGCCGTCCGTGTAGATGTGTGTCCGCCTGGTCGGCAGCTCTCGTGATGGGCACATCTCCAACGCCAACCTTGCCATGCTGTGCAGGGTCGTAGTGTCGACGTCGTCGCAGACGTTGACTCGGCCTCGGCCACGAAGTGTCTCGGCTACTGGTTCCTGGCTGAGAACTGGCAGCACTGTCGCTTGGCCTCTTTCTCGTGCTGTCGTGGTGGGGATCTGCGGTCGCCTTCGGCCACGCCTGGCCCTCTCTGCATTGATATACTCGGGAGAGTACTCGATGCCGTGGCCTGGCGCCGGCCCCATGCCCTGTGGAACTGGACTTGGTGTAGTGGTGATGTGTGCTGGAGGTGGCCGTGGCGTCGGAGAACGCGTTGGGGATGCTGGTGATATGGCTCCAGCCTGAGACGCACTCCGCTTCACGGGTTGTTGTGATGGCATTTGGCTCCCCTCATCGTAGTTCAAGTTGTCCGATCCAGCCCGCGCGGCCTGACTGAACAGGGGCTCGCGTGATTGGGCGTGGAGCATGCTGTCACGTAGACGATGAGGTTCGCCATCCAGGGCGTCTGGGTGACTGGTAGCACCCGTGCCGTGGTGGGAGCGCGCTGATGCCGAGGGGAGCGTCGGCTTCCAACTGCTGGACAGCGGTGAGCTGCTTGGGCCCGTCGGGACTGGGGGCACAGGTGCTGCTGGTTGAGCTGCTGAGCCCGACGGGTGTGGATCCACCGCCAGGTCGTGGTATCTGTTGTGGCTGCTGCTGTTGTCCCGACGACTGTGGCTCTCCGCAGCACGCCGTGCGCGGCGTGCACTCCGCTGGGCTGTTCGGAAGGCTGCAACTGCGCACGCTTGCCTCCAGTTCTCGTAGCACTGCTCCATGCCATCCTCTGCCTCGCTGCCAGCCGAGTTTTGACCGTCGAGAAAGGTCCTTTCCACGTTCTCGATCTCATGGACTCGAATGGCGGAGGGTTGCACACTGATTGCAAGGGCAGCCGGTAACGCATCCTTGCAGCCATCTTGGTGGCTTGTGACCTGGAGTGCTGACAGATTGGCGGATGCCTCACTCCTCCCTGGTAGTGGGCCGCCTTGGTTGCCGCCTAGCGCCCCTCGAGACGCGGCGGGCGGCCCTCGTGTCGGCCGTGGTGGTGTCACATTGGCCCCTCGAGACCCAGGTGACTTATACCGCTGCTGAGGCTGGCTGCTGCCATTGGGAGTGGCAACCCCACTGCCGATGCCCGTTGCGGTATCACATCTGTTTGGAGTCGTGGCCCCTCGAGACCCTGGACTGCTGGAAGTACCTGATCTGGTGCGCGAGATTGTCGGAATCTCCGCTGGTCCATTTGTTACAAGACGGCTGTCGCAATTACCTCCAGGGCCCGCCGTGCTGTCAAGCCTCTGGTGGTGGGTAGGTCGAGCATCGTAGTGGAGGACCCCACTGCCGTGCTGCGGGCTTTGGGCCCCAGCTGCTCTCCCCGATGCTGCCCAGGAGATCGATGCTGTCGAACTAATCGGAGAGCGTGACGAAGTCCCACATCCGTCGTGCTCTGCCCTGTTGGACTCATCGGCCGCCTCCTGGCGATGAATTCTGTCATGCATAACCTGAAGCCTGGCGGCGCTGCTAGGCCCCCTCCCCCCCTCGGGGGGATTCGGCGGGCGCTGCTGCTGCCTGCACCTCGGCTCCAGGAGTTGCAGGAGGGGAGGGGGTTGCTGTGCCCCTTGTCTCGTCCCTCCTGCGGGCCACTCGGCCACGAAAACGGGCTATGCCTGACTCTCCAGAGTCTACCCGCTGACCCTTGTGGGCCTGGCTGATGTCTTCTCCTGGAAATGCGGGCACTGGACCGAACGCCTCTTCGAGGGCTGCAGCTGCGGCGGCGGCTGAGGTGTGCTGGCGCGTCATGATGTCGATGCCCTCATACTGCCTCTCGATGCTGGCCCCTGCCGCCTCCGCGTTCTGCTGGGACGCAGGGGGAGGGGTCAATACGAAGCTGCCGGCTCCCTCTCCACCACCGTGGCCGCGCTGCTCCTCATGCCCGAATGGAACTGTGGGCGTGAGTGACATCTCGCTGAGTGGCGCTGGCGATGCTGGAATGAGGATTACCTGAGATGCTGTCGGGGTGGGAGGGTCTCCTTGCTCTGCTGGTATCGAGCTAGCCCTTGACGTGGATGCCAGGTCTGTGTCTGCCTCGTGCTGCGTGATCCCCCTCATCTCATCGCCCTCATCGGGTGTGGGGTGATCCTGGCTCCAGGGCGGCCACCTGGCGGGGTAGATCATCGGCGCGTGCTCCGAGCCGTCGTCCTCCGCTCGTGAGTCCTGCGTGCCCGCTGTGCCGAACTGGGTCAGGGGGGCCTCCTCGTAGTAGCGCCTTTGGATCTCCTTCGCCTCGTGGTCCCTCACTACGGACTCCAGCTCCTCCTCCATCTGTACGGCTTCCCATTGTGCTTTCTCCTCAGCAGCTTGTCTGTGCAACTCATCTTGTTCGCGCTCGTATCTTTCTGCCTCCTCGTGCGGGTCTGGCCTGTCGGGGCTCCTGGACCTGTCACGCTCTGTGAGGAGGGCCTCGCCTTCGTCGGTCTGGCGGGTTGCTGACCTGGCTGACCTATTTGATGCGGGCCTCCGAGGGGAGGGGCTGCTCTGCCTGCGGCCCCGGTTGGCTGGGCGCTCTCCAGCTGCACCAGTTTGGAAGGTCGCAACGGGGGGCTCGACTGTGGCGGCCGCTGCCTCGGCTGCTCCTCTGGCTTCCCCGTACAGGTCGGCGGCCTCCTGGTAGTCGTCCATGGACTCTTGGGACGTTGGGAGGTGGCCCCCTTGGACGAGATGATGAGCTGCCCTCTTGGTGAAGTCGTAGCCCTCCTGTCCGTATTGCCTCATCTCGGCGTACAGGTTGACCATGGCCTTGCGTTCGCGTTCCCTGCTGGCTGCGATGGCTTCCAGGCTCTGCATCCTCAGCTTTAGCTCCTCTGTCTCCGACGCGCCCTGCTGCTCCTTCTTTGCGATGGCGTCTAGCTCGGTGTGCAGCGTGCTGGAGCGCTGGAGGCTTTCTTGCAGCGCAAGGTGGATAGCCTCCTCCCTGCCCGTCCTCTGCTGGCTGGCGAAGTCTTCCATGGCGGAGGCCTCCTCCATGCTGGCGATCCTGAAGGTGAGGGCCTGGGCGAGCTCCTCCTCGAGCGCCTGCTCCTGCACCTCTGCGTTGGACTTTTGCTCGCTCAGCTGCACCGCGTAGCTGCTCAGTTCCTGTCGCAGGCTCTCTGTGTGCAGCTGCAAGTCATGTGCGTTCGCCTCTTCTATCATGACTTGGCGGGTGAGACTCGCCCTTATTCCCTCAACACTGCCTTCGAGCTCTGCCCGCATTGCCTCCTTGTCCTTCAGGCTGGCCTTCGCGATCTCCTCCTCCTCTGCTCTGGTCCTTAGCAGGGCGAACTGCAAAGCCTGCACCTCATGCGGGACTTGCCGCTCCTTGTTGGCGCTTCTCAGCTCCGCTGCTTCATGGTATGCCACCTGTGCTGCCCGCTGCGCAGCGCCCGCCTCAAGCTTGGAGTACTGCTGTAGCTCGTGTATGCGGGCTTCAGCTGCCTCGAGCTCGTTTTTGGTCTGCTTGAGCCGCTCCTGCTGCCGTGCTGCTGTCTGGACGATCCCTTGCAGCCTGGCCGCCTCTGCCGGCGGGAGGGCCCCTTTTCCCTTGGCGTTGGCAACCACTTGAGCCTGGGCGATTGCCTGGACCCTGGCTGATTCGGCGGCAGCTTCTATCTCGAGGGCGTGGTTCTTTTTGGCCTCCTGGAGCTTCTCTTCCATGACCAGCTCCTGCCTGGCGAGCTGCTGCTTGAGATTACCCGCTGCAGCTGTCGCTCGGGCGCTCTCATGCTGGGCCCGTCGCAGTGACTCTTGTGCCTCGGCTCTTGCCCTCATCAGGTCTTGGCAGGCGCCGTCCTGGGGTTGCGGCTTCTCCCGGTGCTCCGCTCGTACTTGCTCGAGCTGCTCATGCAGGTGATTTGCCCGGTGTGTCGCGGCTTCCGCCTCTGCCTTGGCGTGAGTGAAGGCTGTGTCATGGCTGATTATTCTGGCCTCCATCTGCGTCGCGAACTCGAGCTGCTCGTATTGTTGCCTCTTGATCTCATGTCGGAGGGCCTTGTGTTGCTGCTGTTGCTGCTGCTGGGCTGCGCTCTCCGCTGCGGTGATGCGCTGCAGCTGCTCTGACTCCTCCTTGAGTGCCAGCCTCACTTTCGCCTGCTCGCCATTGTGGCGTAGTGCTTGTTCGCGAGCAACCCTCCTTACTTCCGCCAGTTCGGCAGCGAACTCTTGCTCGGCTTCGGCATGGCGCTGCTGCTGGTGGGCCCGCTCCGCATTTGCCTTGGCCACCTGATCTGCGAAGCCTCTGGTTGCGCTGCCTGCCGAGCTGGCTCTTGATCGTGGCGATTGCCCTACCACTCCTGATGGCCAAGCTGGGAGTCCGTCACCAGGTGCTTCGCTGTTCAGGCGCCTGTCAATCACAGCCTTGTGGAAAGCATCCCAGCTCGGTGCCAAGCCGAACCCGTCCGTGTCCCAGTCGCCCTCGTCGTCCGCCGCGCCGCCGTCGGCGAGCACAGCCCTCACGTCGGCGATGTTGGACTCGAGCTGCCTCAACTCCTGCTGCTTGGCCTTGAGGTCGTCCCGCAGCTCGTTCGACTTGGCTTCTAGGGCGATGACTTCGAGTTTGACGGCCTTGCGCCTCTTGCTGAGCACCTGCAGCTGGTCGTTCGGCCTTCTCGTGACCAGCTTCTGATACTTGATGACCGCGATCTCCCGTAACTGCTCTTCAGTGCTGTCCCCCGCGGCCTGCTTGGCAATGATCAGGTCGCCCAGCTTCCTCAGCCTCTGATCGGCGGTGCTCAAGAACTTCTGGATGCCTGCGCGGTCGGCCGGGGGCGCCTGCCACTTTGGGTGGGTGGTGGCCTGGTCCAGCGTGCATGCCGCCACTGAGTCGATGACCTTTTGAGCACGCTGGTCCGCTTTGCTGGAGCTGGCCTGGCCACCCTTGCCCGCCCTGGGCTGGTGCTGCT